GACTGTGCCGTGTAAGAAAGACTCTGTCACCATATTCTCTTGCAGGGATTTTCCATAGTCTCTGCCATAGTCTGTAACATGGAGTATGAGTATAATATTTTTCAGACAACAAAACGAGGTAATAAAAATCAGGATCATTAAAAATAAATGCCTCTAATTAAGCTGAAAGACTCGTGTCCTACTCAAACCATGTCAGCAATCACCAATTCCTCCACCCGCTGGCTGAAGCTTGGGATATTCACTGATTGGTACTGACGTGCTTTGGGCACTCTGATGATGGCCTCAGGGTTTAGCTATGATGCCTTTGATTGGACAACATAATGACTGAGAGCATCATTAAGTGGCAAAGCGACACAATTTCAGTCATTGATTACTTTGTCTTCATTGCCTGTGCTCCTATAAAATGAACCCTTTGGGAGAACCAATGAAACTGAGTCCATCTAAAGTTATAGAAGCTGTAGTTTGCCAGGGCGTGCATTTTTCTGCGTCTGTCATTTTCAAACTTCAGAACTGTGCTTTTGCTTTATTTTATACATGAAAGAGATTAGCTGATAATGCTTTTTCTGGCACTAAAATTACCACAGTTTACACATAGTTAAAATGTGCCAAGTCTCAATTTTAGAAGTTTGAATGGGGGATTTAGAGGAAAATAGAAAAGCAGTATGTGTAGATTTATTATTTCTTATCAGATGTCATTATGCCCCATATTTTGGGTTATGTTGCCATTCTTTCAGAGATTTGCGGAGCTGTGAATTAAGAAAGGCTACTGGTCAACTCATTTATAAAGTGTGAACAATTGTTACCCATTTTGGCTTTCAGTCTGCAGATTTCCATCTATTCTGGGTATGTGTTGAGGCCACATTGTCATTTTACCTAAGCACCCACACTAGACCACAATGTTTTCTATGGGGAAATTAGCTGCGTTTGCTATTTCCCTGCGATTGTTTCTGTGGTCAGTGTCAGTTGTACACAAAGGGAGGAGACATTATGGCTGTTGTTTCCAGTAATATTGTTTTATGACAAAACAGGGAGGCTGAACAGAGATCTGGACATCCCAGTTCTGCATGAGATGTAGCACCATTACAGGTTTATCTTTGTAGTTACCTAACGAGAGCAGAAGTGCACAGGAAGTCTGAACTTCTATTGAATAAAAGAATGGCCGCTGTATTCAGGAAGCCTTCCTTTGTGGTGCATGCTTTATCTCTATCTACTTTTTACTGCAAACACCATAGAAAACTATTTTCCTTTTTGTACAAAAATATGAAACTTTTACATGTCTTCTGCTGACCAGGTTATGCTACTTTCATCAACAAGGGAGAAATTCCTCTTTTGGTTCTGTTCATTTGTGAATCCCAAATAAAATGCAGTGTTATTTATGGCCAGTATTTGCTCTTATGTCTTCAGCCTTTATAGTGCATACACATGTGCCTCTGAGGGACAAACACTGGATACTGTCTCTTTGACTGTAATCATTCTCACTTTAGTGTTGGAGCTGTAATATATATATTTGTCTTCATGTTCATTGTGATGACCTTTGCCTGTTATTTTCTCAGGGCTCCTCTACTTCTATACATTATAAAATGCTGCATCTGCGTCCACTTCCACTTCCTAAATAATTGCCGATAACTGCAAATACTGACCTCTGTTCTCCATTTATTTTTATTTAAGCCTATTGATGTCACAGGGGAGATGCCTCAGCCTCTTGCTTTAATTTCTTTCTTTTTTTCTTTTTGACCTGAACCCTTCAAACTTGAATGTCTCAGTCGCGTGGGTGGCTGTAGGATATGTTAATTCAACTCCATGCAGATGATGCCATTATTATCCACCACAGAATGCCATGATCCATGATTTCCTTATTCATTAAACCTCCCCCACACGGATTGCATCTGTCCAGTCTGGCATGGGGATCACACTTAACCCATTTGAGGAAAATCTACTGAATGCAGACCCCCTGCTTCTTTTTTTTTTTTTTTGTCCAGAGAAGACAATCGCACAATGACATGACCCCATTTAGTGATGCATCGCTGCCCAAGAAGTATTTTCCTCCTTCAAGTTCACCACCTCACATTAAACATTTTCTCAAGAAAGCCCCTTTCTCCTGTAGTTCAGCTTTTTTCCCACCAACATCTGTTGATTGGAAATCGTTCCAGTCACCAATCCTGCAAAACAGCTGTGAGGCTTTACTTATTACTCCTCTAATTAGTCAGTGTTTCACTTATCACAAAGTGCAGCAATTAAATTATTGTGACAGCTTCCTAATTAAGGATTATTTTTCTCAAATTTTCTGCTTAATTGTTTGGTTTCTGGTGTACATTTTCAATTTCCTTTTTAAGCCCAAGTTGTACAGATAGTTTGAAAAGTTTAGTTTGAGTCACCAGCAGCCTAACAGCCAGAGATATTTACATATGTACTAAACTTTGTATTTGTGTTTGAGAGGCCATAGCTAGAGGGCTTTCATGGCTGTTCCTTAATTCTGTACTTTATGATTAATCTAGTAATTGTTTCAGACTTAAGGCAATGTCTGACATCATTTTAAATGTCAGTATTATGGCCTTGCTTCTAAAATCTGTATATTTTAATGCATATATTAAGTATATACTAATCCAAAGATTATCAAAAACTAGATTGGTGGGAAGATCAGACTAGGTAGCCAATCCGAGGATGCTTATCTTACCTGCAGACTTGTACAATATCTGAGGCAATGTGCTAAAAGCTTGGCACCGAAGTTGTCTGTTTATGCACAGTCGAATAACACAGCATTTGCATTTAT